TTTAAATGGGTTGCAGGAAAAGTCATACTGCCATGAATCTCCCTCAAAATCTTCCCCTCACTTCACACACGTCCATCCCATCATCCTTGTCATTTTCTGCAGCAGCTCTGGAGTCCTCTTTCCTGAGGGTCTTTATGAGGTGAGATAAAATATACAGTGACTGCTACTGCCAAGCACCACCCAGCGCAAAGGCAGCTCCCAAAAGCAGAATGCTGTGTCCTCATCCACCTCAGTCACCGGATCTGGCACCGTGTGTCTCCCAGCTCTTCCCTAAAGTCCCAGTGACCATGAAAAAGAAATGTTTTGAATCCATTCAGGACATCGAGGCGACCAGGACAGCACAGCTAAAGACCCTCAGGAAAGAGGACTCCAGAGCGGCTGCGGAAAATGACAAGGATGACGGGACGAGTGTGTTAGAAACGACTGGAGGATTCTGAAGGGAATTAACAGTTATGTCATTTATTGTAATAAATTTTAAAAATTAAACTTTTTCATATTTTTAAATCCCATCTCATATGGTACATATCTTCTCTCTGTCTAGTTTGCCTCATAATGCCTTTCGATAAACTGAAGTTCTTAATTTTAATGAAGTCCAATTCAATGATCTTTTCCTTCACAGGTTGGTGCTTTTTGTGTCCTGTTTACAAGATATATCCCACCGGAAGGCATACAGATATTTTGCTATTTTTTTTCTAGCTTTGTGGTTTATCTATTAAGTGTAGTTCTATGATCCATTTGAATCAATTTTGGGGACAGAAAAGAGTTAAATTCTTTGTATGGATGTTCCACTGAACTAAAGCCATATGTTGAAAAGCTCTTTTCCCCAGTGAATTTTAGTAGCATTTTGTGTAGATCTGTTATCTTATCTGTATCTACAGGTCAGTTTCTGAGCTGTCTACTCAGTTCCAATTGGTCTTTTGTTCTCTCCTTGTCAGGAACACTAGATTACTCTTCATTTATCTTTTTTTTTTGTTGTTTTTTGGTACCGGGGGTCGAACTCGGGACCTTGCGCTTGCGAGGCAGGCTGCGGAACCACTGAGCCAAATCCACGGCCCTCTTCATTTTATCTATCAAATGTTAAACTGACCTTGCATTCCTGGAATAAACCCAACACGTCTGTGATGTAGTATTGCCCCATCGAAACATTGCTTTCAAATACTGCTGACTACAACTAAAGTTGTAAATTTACCGATAGTTTTTTTTTTTTGAACTTTTCCATTTGTGTTTCTGACAGAGATGGGACTTTAATTTTGACTTTTTCTTTTTCAGCAGTGGCAAAGTTTATTTGAAAAAGTAAAAGAAGTGAAGAGTGACGAAAAAACTGGCTCTGCAGAGTGAGCTTGGGCAGAGTAAAAAAAAAAGGAGAAGGCGAGATAAAAGAACATCCCGGAGGAAGCAGGACAGGTGCTCCTGAGGAAAGCCACAATGGCCCAGCCTGACTTCTCTCCTGTCAGGTTATGTTTGCCTCGCAAGATTCACGGTTCGTAGTCTCTGTCTCTCCGTTATTTGGAAGAGTCTGTAAGAGAAGGAGTCTCTCTTGCTTGCTTTTTCTTTTTTTAATTCTTCTCCTTTTCCTTCTCCTCCTCCTTCTTCCTCTTCTTCTTCTTTTTTTTGGGGGGGTACTGTGGTTTGAAATAAGGGATTTACTCTGAGTTGCACCCCAGATCTTTAAACATTTTTATTCTTTTCTAATTTTTTAAACAGCAAAACAAGTATTGATACATTTTAGATGTCCGTAATGATAACACTCATCATAGGGAATTTGCACCTGTCAACTATTCCTTCTGCCTCTTTTTTCCCCTTTCCCCTCTCCCTGCAGGCTCCCTTCTCCTCCCTATGTACAAAGCTTTGTTTCTATTTTTTTCCTTCTATTTTCGCTATTTTTTTTCCTTGTCCTTCCTTTCTCCCTCTTCTTCCCTGCTTCTCTTCTTTAAACATTTTTAAAATTTGAATTTAAGGGCTGGGGATTTAGCTCAGGGGTTACACTGCCTGCCTTGCAAGTGCAAGGTCCTGAGTTCGATTCCCAGTACAAAAAACAAAATTGAATTTGAAACAGTTGCTTTTGACTTCCTGGATTTAAGCAAAGATCCTTCTGCATCAGCCTTCCTGTCCTGGGATTATAGGCATGTGCTACCACCCCAGGTAAAACTGACATTTTCTTTTCTTTTTTCTCTCTTTTGAAACAGGGTCTCACTATGTAGTTGAGACTGACCTGGAACTCACTATGTAGCCCAGGCTGGTCTCAAACTCGCAGCTATCCTCCTGCCTCAGCCTCCTGAGTGCTGGGATTACAGGCGTGTACCACCACGCCGGACTATTCCACATCTATTTTTAAGAAACTTATTCCATAAATTAAAAAAAATTCTGAAAAGAAAATTTCAGTTTAATATTCTCTTGGGCTGTATGGTATTTATAGTGATGCCATTTTTATTGCCCCACTATTAGATAATTTTGCTTTTCTTTTTTATCAATCTTTCCAGATTTATTGAATTTATTAGTTTTTTCCCAAAGGGGCTAATATTATTTTGTGGAAATGGTCTATTGAATGCTTGCTTTACCTTTTGCTAATTTATCTTGGCTTTTTCCTTCTTCACTTTTTTGTTTTGTTTTGTTTTGTTTTCTTTTTTGTTTTTGTATCAGGGATCGAACTCAGGACCTTACGCTTGAGAGGCAGGTGGCGGCACTACTGAGCTAAATCCCTGGCCCTTCTTCCCTTCTCGGTGAGACCTTTCTGGACCACCCCATTCCCATGTGAAACACCTCATTTCACTCCTTTCTCTGTGCTTTTCCTTGGTGTGCAGCACAACCTAACACACCATACACAGTCCTGATTTACTGCCCCTCCCGGTCATTACCCAAAGAATCTCCCTGAGGGCAGAGATGCTCATTTTACCCTGTCCCTGCTGACTTCCCAGGATGAAACCACTTCCTCTTTCACAAAGAAAATTAGGAGTGTGAGTGTTCAGCGGGGAGACAGGAGCTGGATGCAGTTTCACAATTTTTAGCACACGTTCGCAGTGCGTAGTGATCCATTTTATCCCAGGGGGTGGGATGTACATAACCAATCCTAATTTTTTTTTTAACTTTCCTTTGCTTTCTCCTCCCTCCCATTGCATCTCTAGTTCCACTTCCCGTTTAAAGAGAATCTAAATCTCTATTTCCTATCATCTCTCTTTTATTTTGCTCCTTAAATAGTGTATTCTGTTGGCTCCTCATATATGAGAAGCCATTGACATTTGCGCCTGTGTGTCTGGTTATGTCCCTTAACATTATGGTCTCAAGGTGCATCCATTTTCCGACAAATGCCTCAGGTTTATCCTTTATGGCAGAGTAGTGCTCCGTTGCGTATCTCACCACATTTCCTTCATCCACTCATAGACTGATGGACCCGTAGGCTGCTTCCAATACTTCGCTATTTACTATGTATGAGCTGTGCTGCCATAAACATGGGTGTGCACAGATCCCTGTAATACGTTATCTTTAACTCCTTCAGGAAGAAACCTAGAAGAGAAATACTGGACTGAATGGAATTTCTAGTTTCAAGTTGGTTTGTTTTGTTTTTGAGGCATCTCCACACTGATCTCCATAGTGACTGTGCTAGTTTATATTCCCACCCACAATGGAGAAGGGTTCCTTCTTTTTCCCCCACCAGCATGTTATTTGATTTCTTGATGATAGTCATTCTTTCTGGAGTGAGATGGAATCTCAGTGTTGTTTTAACTTGAGTTTCTCTAATTTCCAATGATGTTGAATATTTCTTCATGTATTATTGGGCATTGCACTTCTGAGAAGCGTCTAGTCCATTGCTCATTTTCTCATCGTCTTTTTTCAGGGAGGGTCTCATTTTTTCCCCCGGTGCCAGGAATCAAACTCAGGACCTTGCACTTGCCAGGCAGATGAGGCACCACTGAGCTAAACCCTGGGCCCAAGGGTCTCATTCTTTGAAGTTCTTTGTATATTTTAGGTGTTAGCCCTGTATCTAAGGAGTAGTTGGCGAAAACAAAAAGTTTTTTCTAGGGCCTGGGATTTAGCTCAGTGATGCCATGCCTGCCTTGCAAGTGCAAGGTCCTGAGTTTGATCCCTGGTACCGGGGGAAAAAATTTTTTTTCTTTGAGACAGTCTCATTATGTAGTTCAGGCTGGCCTCGAACTCACGGCACTACTCCATGCCTCAGCCTCCCGAGTGCTGGGATTACAGGCGCGGGCCACCAGGCCTAGCTTTTGGTACTCAGGACCTTGTGCTTGCGAGGCAGGCAAGGCACCACTGAGCTAAATCCCTGGCCCTTAACAGCCAAATTGATCCACAAAGCTCAACTATAAAGGAGAGTTAGTATCTAATTTTTGTAGAGGAGGAAATTGGGGCCAAGGAAGCTGGAAAATTCTGATTAGAAACCTAGGTTTAACCCAAACCTCAAGGTCTCACCTTTAAAAAAAAAAAAACCAGTAAAAAGCAGGGCATGGTAGTGCACACCCATAATTCCAGCAGTTGGGAAGGCTGTAGGCTGTAGCTGGTGGAATCACAAGTTTTTTTTGGGGGGGGGCGTTTAATGATTTAGGGAGAACTGTTTCTTTTTCTTTTTTTTTTTTTTTTTCTCTCATTGAGTTTATTGGTAGAGAACTGTTTCAAAATAAAATTTAAAGTGCTTGAAATGTAGCTCAGCTCAAAGGCCCTGGGTTCAATCTCCAGTAGGAAGGAAAAAAAAATCCTTAACGGACGGAGTGTTTGGGAGGTAGAATCCAGAGGGGTACAATGCCTCCCTTGCAGCCTAGCACTGGGGCATTGGAATGAGCCGCCAACAGAATGGTGCAGGGTTTAATCATTCGGCCCTGGGCGCCGCCCAGTGGTGATTGGGTTGATTTTAGTTACCACCCAAAATAC